ACACTTCAGTAATAGGAGACATAAGTATCATAAGAAATAGGAAAAGGGGATACAGATAGTGTTGTACACTAATTACAATGTGTTTGAGTGTTTACATTCATACAGTTTCACTACATGGTTTATATGTATATATACATACACAAATATATATACATAGATACATCGTTCTTAAGTATCAATTAAGTTGTTATTTTCAAGTGGTTAATTTAATTTGACAATAAATCTTAACTCGACTAATGATAATACAAAATACAGTCACATATGACACTTAAGTGATTAAATCATTCACTGTATCCATGTTCACTGATTCAATACATATGTATATTTAATAGCTACTTTGATTTGATTTATAACACATAAAAATAATATGATTAACATAATTAAAGATGATTGTCATAGTAACATGAAGTCATTATAAAAAAAGCACGGATTAATATTAGTGTTAAAATAGTTGAGTTTACTTTAATTTAGGATTTAACATATACGAGGTTTATTCTCAAATCTTTTTATGATGACTATCGTACTACTGAAATAATCGTTTAAGTTAGAACGAACATCAGACTATATTTAAGTAAAACAGAATAGTAGTTAGGAGTGGAATACAAGACATGGGTTACTTATTGTTTGAGACTCACTAACTGCATGTACCTGCATCCAGTGTTAATGTTCATACCGGGACTCGAGCCAGATATGCTTCGTTTCGAACACTTCATTAACATCGGAAACTCATTGAAATTTTCATTAAGTACCCGTACTTTTACGAGAAAAATATGTAAATTATAGCAATATTTTATATTTAAAACAAGCATAATTACTTGTCAGTGAAAAATTACAAACTGTAATGCAGTCATTTCTAATTCATAAATCCAATCCTGATACAACTTAAATCAATTAATTCTTATGAAAGTATCCACCAATAAACTGTACTAAACTATTTAGGACGAATTTTATATTTTGAAGTGGACAAAGTTTTATAGTAAATATATATGTGTATACGTTAGCTGTGGAAACTAGAGTTTTTAGATTATTCTAACAGTCTTGTTATTAAATCTAAATGAAATCTTGTAGAACTCAGTGTTTAATTAAACAAAGGGTTTGTGCACTTGATTTTAACCAAGTGAGGAGGTAGTGTTACACCAATTAGCTGTCTGAAATGAGATAAATCATCATTTGTATCCACTACAGACTGACTTGCGAGTTGTATTTTAATCATTTTTTCCTTCAAAAAGCTATCATTTAATAGCCTGTATATGTAAATCTTTTTTATGAAATTCATTTTGAACAAAATGTAGGAATAAGAAATAATGGTCATAACGTATTCTATTGTAAAGACATTTATTTGAAAATACTAAATTGGACTACATTTATTGACAGTAAATAGTTTGAGAAGAAACTGGTTGACTTAAATTTCACTTATAAACTCAGTTGCTAATTATAGTTACTCTTGAATTATTAGATCAATATTTAATGAATGATATATTCCAACACCATTAAGTTAACGATATTGTTCTGTAATTACCCATTGAAATAGTTCATTGTATTTTCTAGAGACCCTCTAATCGAATGCTTTCAAAAGATCAAGGGAATTTTATAAAACCAACCATGACGTAATGCGTAAAGGATTTCTATGGGACTACTACACCGTTCATGAATAATGATTAGTATTATGGTGGAATGATATAATGTTTTAGCGGTTTTTTAAATAGTTGTCTCATTAATCTGTATTAAGAGATGAACAATATTGTAAAATGCTCTATCCAATTTCCAGTGAGGATAATTCAATAATTTCTTTTTGCTTATTCTCCTAGGTTTGGTTTCAAAATCGTCGAGCTAAATATCGTAAATACGAACGGTCACATAGCTGTAATAATATGAATATCGACAATAATAATGATAATAACAGTCATAGTAGTATGGAAATAAATCAACAGCAACTTAACCTATTGTCTGATACTCAAACAATATTGAACACATTCAACGCTTATACATCAGCTTTGCAACATTTAATTCCTAACAACAATACAGATAACAATTCGACTGTATTATTTTCAACTAACAAGTTATCTCCTGTTGCATTGACAACAGATACTACCTCAAATGTTTCGCAAGAAGTTCAGCTGAAAACCAAATCATTGTTAAATTTGACCACTGAAATAGACACAAAGGAAACATTCACAAATACATTGATTAATTCATTGTCCGCTACAGATACAACTATAAAATTAAATCCTAGAATTGATTATTCTACATTATTAAATTCTAAAGACTTAGCTACAATTCTAATTGGATTCAATGGAAATCAAATACCATTTCAAATGAAATAGTCTAATTTTAAATGATTTTAATTTTAATATAGAAATGTTACTTTGATATCTTGTTATTAATTTAAAAACTGCGCCATTGTGAATAAATTCTCATTAATTTACATTCAATAAAAATTTTTTTGTTTAAAAAACAAACAAACATGATGATTAGATTGAATGTGTCGAATTAACAATAATCTTTAATTATCCATATAATGTAAGTAGTCGATTGAAATGGTTAATATTTTTTCAACTCTTTTATTCATAATTCCAGTTTAAAATTGATGAGTTGTATCAATGAAAATAGTTTCATATTTGTATAAATATTAACTAAACTAAAATATAAATAAACAGTGTATATTGAAATAATATTAATTTGTTTTAAATTAATGATATTTGTTACTTAAAATAAATGTTATTTTCAAATGACAACAATTTATGAATGTTTCACTCTTAATGATAAGAGATTAATGGTGAGACTATAATTTATGGACGACCTCTAAGCGACGCTAAAGTGACCCTGAGACGTTCATTGAAATGCTCTTTTTCTTGGTTTTGAAGGAGGCTTTGATGATCCTTGGTCCATGAGACTCCCATCCTATAAGTACATTTTGTGCTTGTTTGGACAGCATCAATGCAACTCCTTGTGTATGTGGGGCATTTTCATGTTCATGTTCGGAGTATAACAGCAGCTCCCCTGAAGCTAGTCGTTGTTGTCCAACTTGCGTCCAATGTGTTTCACTGATCCCAAGCACCCCTAAATTGTATCTCCTCATTTCTGCAGTAATTTGGAAGACTCTTCCAGTCTCCCACATTGTACGAGCATTCCATGTACCTAAATAAAAGGTTGCTCTGGTTGTCAGAAGGGGCATCGGCCTCGTGACTTCCGAAGGAACTCGGCTTTCATCATGAGACGTCATAACTTTTCTAAATGAAGACCTTCTGACTCATATAATTAAAATAACCCATAGTGTCATTAAATAAGAAAAAGAGAATTCAGCGAAGAAAATTTTCTTTCCGATGAAATCATTTACTTAAGCTGTACATTCGTATATATAGTTATATGGAAAATGTATGTCTATTGGAGGATAGAAAAAATTGTATCACCAAAATAGATTCGAGGAAAATAACAAGTGTGGCTGTACTCACTGATGTAAGTAGTCAGTGTGTGAATAACCTGATAAGTCTTTTAACGTACCTGTTGTTCAATGAAGAATATAATTAATGTATCCTACTAAATCGTTGGCATACTTATTTTAAGCAAGGATGTGTTAACTGAAATCCAAACAATAAACATGCAAGTTACACTGACCAAAAGATAGTGTCCATTATGAGAAAAATAAAGCTATCAATGACAAAATTTATTCAGTGACTTTAAATCGCATAGGCTATACAACTAATTATCTTTAGTATGTTCAGCGGAAAAGTACCAAACCGTGTCTTATTTTTGCAACTGATTGAATGCTACTCTGATCCCTTTCAAACAAATGTTTTTAGAAAATTTCCTCAAGACACTAATATTTACTTCATTAGACACCTCATAAAGTGACAAAACAATGGGAACAACTAATTATTTGGATCGATGGTAAGATGACTACAAATCCTTTTACAGTGATTGACTTGGATCTACTATAATTGGTATTGAATTAAGTTACTTACTTAGGGTTCGTAACCATTAGTCATAAAAATAGCACAACTTCAGAAAACGGAACTGCTTCTTATATAGACTATTAAAAAGTTTTTGATTGAGACCATGAATCGATTAATGTTAGGCCATCATTGAAACCTGGAAGCCCCGGACGGCCGTTTCGTCCCATTCGGCACTCCTTAGCAGTGCACACCCACGGCATTCGAACCCAGGATCTTTGGTTTCACACGTAAACGCCTAACCTCGAGACCATTGAGCCGGCGTCCCGTGATGTTAATGTTTAGGTATTAAGCGTTCGCACATGAAACCGAAGGTCCCGGCTTCGAATCCCGCCAGTGGGATCGTGGATGCTCACTGCTGAGGAGTCCCATAATAGGACGAAATAGCCATTCAGTGCTTCCAGGTTTTTAATGATGGCCTAACATCAATCAATTCATGATCTCAATAAAAAACTTAACAATCTCTACAACCTCATACTGATATTAGAAATGGTGTTTGTCTTGATGGTTGGGAATGTATAACATATTACATCGGTAGCGCAGTGAATAGATACTTGAATCCTTGTAATGAATTGTCTTTATTTTTAACGCTTTGGTTAGAAACAGGATCATTTGATTTTTCAACTGAATGGAACTCCTCCTATTTTCCTCCTTCATCAACTGGCTTACGGTAGCGTGAGGAATACTATGATGTGTTTGTAAACCTAACTGCTTCCATAGTAAGAATAGACTTCAATGTATACATTGAGCTTTTGGTAGCCTAGTACGAGTTGTTCCTAAAGTTACCACAGGAATCAACATTTAATCATAGCATATAAACGGAGCTTTTATTTATTATGAGACCTGGAGATTCAAGCATAAAATTCGTTAAGTTTGGTGTTTTAAATTCATAGATTACACCAGATGACGCTGTTCTACTGCTTAATGTTGTTTGCTTCGTGATAAATTCCGATTCAAAAAATCTAATAAATTGAACTATTTACGATTAGTAAGTATATTAATGTAAGTAAGTATATTAATGTGATGTTTCCAGATTAAAATTTATTCATGTTTTTGGAAGCAATTTTTATTATCAAGTTTTAACACACTACATATGGACACACTTTCAGATACAAATGAGTTAACAGAAAATTATTTAAAACAATTATTTATTTACAGGAAATAAAGTATTATTGAGGGAAGACAATGTACATGTGCATTATTGAATATATTTTTTCATAAATTTTTTATGAAATTCAGATCGTAGTGTATCATTTACGAATCCACGTTTTACATGATCGACTTCACCTCGAGCACAATTTTTAAATACAACATCATCATCCCATCTTCGTTTGACTTTAAATTCTTCAGTACAAAAAAGGAACATATTTTACACACAATGAAACAATGTAATAATAGAAGTATAATGAATATAAAACTAAACGGTAAAATATAAACGACAATTTTTAAAGAAATTTTGATTTTTTACCAGCTGACATTAAAAAACAAGACAAATCGAACTTAACGTTTTGGGTAACTAGTCCTAAAGGAAACCTTGATTTCTTTATGATGATCATTACAAACGATTTCATCGTAATAAACAATATGAAAATGTAAGGTATTGAATATGGATGTATGAACCAGTTATTTAGTTACTGTAACCTATATAGTGTGCGTGGAAACAAATTTTGTGTCAGAAATGACTGTACGTAAGATTTTTGAGTATTTACAAAAATGTAGATTTTTAACGTTTTCTGTGAATGGTAAAAACTACTCTTCACACAACTAAAGTAAATGAAGTTTAAAAATTTATTTACGAATAACCATTCCTGAGACTATGAGCTGCTAAGTTTACGGCAGGTGATATTAGGAATAATGGATACCCAAATAGTGACAATTTATCTTCCATAGATTTGAAATTATTTAAGCAACTTAAGTAATAGTGGTATGTCTAACTTCAATAGGGCAGCATCATCGATGAACAAGGAGGATTCGATGCAGACGTAAAAACGAGGATTTGCAATGTAAGGGCCACATTCCTACAGTTGAAGAACATATGGAACTCAAAACAACTGTCAACCAATATCAAAGTGAAAATCTTAAATACAAACGTCAAGACAGTTCTAGTGTGCAAAGCTAAAACTTGGAGAACTACTACCACCATAATCGAAGTAGTACAAGTATTTATAAACAGTTATCTACACAAGATATTCAATGTCCGTCGATCGGGTACCATAAGCAACAGTCTACCGTAGAAGAGAACAAACCAACTTCCAGTTGAAGAGGAAATTAGGAAAGGACGATGGAGGTGGATAGGACATACGTTACGTAAACCATCAAACTGCATCACGAGGCAAGTGCTGACTTGGAATCCTGAAGGGAAGCGGAAAAGAGAAAAACCAAGGACCACGTTGCGTCGGAAGCAGATATCAAAATAATGAATGGACACTGGAAACGATTTCCCAGGACAAAGTTGGTGGGCGACCTATGCTCCTCCACAAGGGGTAACAGGCGTAAGTAACTTCAACATATGATATAAAGTAACAGAAAAGTACTATTTTGGGTGACACTGAGTTGGATGATTTAATCGTGAAGCTTTGATTGTTGTTTTTAATAGAATCACCAGCATCTACTACAAGTAGAAACATCTAGATTACAGAATATAACACCACTGAAATCATCTGGTCGAGTTACAAATCATTCCAAAAATTAGCGCACTCCAATGCCATTAATTTTTATTATTGCGTATCAATCTTTTAGATTTTTCTGTTAGTTTGTATAAGCTAGTATTTCATACACTATACTGTTTATAAACAGAGTAAACAATAACATTCATCAATTATTAAGACTAATTTTATTTAATAAAATATCGAAAGTCTGCTTCAGACTACAATCATAATTTGTTTGAAGAACTAGTGTGAATATGACAGTACTAGATATCTGACCTACTCAAAGACCTATGATCTGTATACAAATGTATGATTACCGTCTTCGGAACGAATCTATGATTTTTAAGTTTTCCGAAGAGCTGGTTACTCAATAAACTATTTGGACAGTTGCTGAAACTTGAGAAGCAGGAAATTTCTTTTATAAAGGCACTAGATATATCCCAGTATTATTACCTCATTATCCCCAATCCGGTATAAACCACATAAATTTTCCCGGTAAGTATGATGATTTAAGTCCAATCAATGGTGAATGAATCTTTGTGTGAACATTTCAATCCTGGAATTTATAACTTACTAGAATGATAAATGTGAATTGCTTTGAAGATAGATGATTGACACAGTCGTATTGAATTAAATTAATAAATCATTTCATACTATTTGTATGGACGGTTGTATAAAAGTTAAATAATTCACTATATGTAAAAACCATTAAGCCAACATTAGGTCGCGATATGCCAGAAATTTTCTACTCACTGGGATATCAGATATATATATATAATTTCATGAGTATAGATTCACTGTAAAACAAACCTGAAGAATTAGATGAATTTAAAAGAGGATTTCCTTTCAAGATATTTTCCATACGAATAGTTTCTTCAGCTGCTTTCCTTTCAGCAGCCAAACGGGCTGCTTCTTCAGCTCGTTCACGTTTAATTTTAGCCAATTCAGCTAGGAGCATTTCTTCATCTTCTTCATCATCGTCGTCGACGTCATCATTGTCAGCATCTTCATCATCATCATCACCATTTTGATCATCATCATCATCAAATTTATCTCCAGTTGAATTTTTACTTTTATTATGATTCGATTTCTTAGTGATAATTACATCGTCTTGATCTTCATCATAGTCCTCGTCCCACGGATCATCAGCGTCTAAATTAGTTGTTGACACAGTAGTGGTTGTTTCGGGTCGTGTACGTTTTATACTACCTATAGTACTACTATCAATAGTTGGTGCGACAGCAGCAGAACTTGGTCGTTTGGCACTGGTAATTGCTGGTTGTTGACTAGTGGCATTTATTGAAGCTAAATGAGGGCAATAGAAAGAAGTAATACAAATGTAAAACTCCTACACTCGTAGTGTCTTGACTTTTGAAAGAGGAAGAATATCAAAAGGTAAAAGATACAAAATTCTGGTCTGAAATATAATATGAATTTTGAGAAGTTCCTCAAAGTCGTCATCTTCACGAAGGAGTAATTCTGACTTAAAACTGATTTCGTTCAGTGAATTTATTAATGAAATATATTAAAAAACAAGGTAGTTTAGAAGCATTTGGTGGCTGTTGACAACATTAATCTTAAGCATTCTAACACATAACAATAAAGTATATCTACAACGCCCACAAAATTCATGTTTACAAGCTAAGAAACAGCATTGTTTAATGTTACATAAAGGCATTTAGGATGGAACTGGTACTGTGGAGAATTAAATAAGAGTTAAGAACCAAGTAGAGTGAGTGCATGCAACCACTTCTCTCCATTGTTCCACTCAAGCAATGGGGCTAGCCAGGGTTTCCCAATCTCACAACTTTGCTACCGATAACGTTCTGGAAACAGCTCTAATGAAAGTGAGTGGTGGTAATGTAGGTCTTTTACTTTCAGGAAGACTTTTTGACCTTGAGTTTATGGATGATATTGCATTAATTTGCGAAGATACACTCGGTATGCAAATCGCAATTAATCAGTTGGCAGTGAGTGTCCGTATGTCATGTACTTTGCACATTCTAAATTCAAAGTGACTAGCAGAAATCTCTGCCTATACTCACTCTTTGTGGTGATCCGTTAGTAGTCAAAAAGTTCGTGAATATGGGTGGTTGTATAAGTACCAGGAGTGGGGTAGCTGATGAAATCAACCTAAGCGTAATCAAAGCCAAGACGGCTTACATCTTCGGTGCCGTCGTGATGAATTCGCTGTATAAGTTCAGGCTTACAACGGATCAGTGGAAGGAGTTTTGGTTTTTTTCTCGTAGAACCTAGTCTCCAAGTTGAGGATGTTTGAAGACTGTGTGCGTTTGATCATCGTTGTATCCGAAGTACTACCGACATCTAGTGTCGACAACATGCTAGTGATGCAGATATTCGACGTGTGTCCGGGCATAGCGACCATAGTTGAATTGGTGTCACCATCTTGAAACACCGACTTCGGTGGCTTGGACATGTCGTCCCGGCAAGTTCCAAACCAGGCTTTATTTGCCGGTTGAAAAAAGCGGAGAGGCGGTCAGTGTATGGCATGTCGTGGTACGAAAGAAAGCTCTCCAAGACTGATTTCTGTTGGTCCTTCACGCTCCAAGGGTTGAGATCCTAAAGATGATGCAACACAGCGGCTTGGGACGTTATCAGAAATGGCTCAGAATAAGAGCCAGTAACGATTCTGTTGTAACTTTCATTTACTTCCTTCAAAAAAGGGAGATTAACTTCTTGAACTGAAGGAGTTCTTTCTTGTTACATTTTACCTAACTGAACTGCTCCTATTATTATTTTACTATCATACACTAATTTCTATTCGTTGTTGTTCCTCTTTTCTAATATACTCATTGTATTTCCTCTATTTCTTCAGAACCTGATTTTTAATGTGGAGCATTTATAAATGGTCATGCTTTATATCAGTATTTATATTCAAATAAATAAACACAACCGGAAAAATGTGACTATTAGTCTGGCAAACCGACGAATAGGATACATTTTACATTCGTAGTGCCGAGCGATGGAGAGGGTGCACGATCGAGCATTGACCAGTTAAGTCAATGAAGACCAAGAAGATCAACATTAATGCTTAATTTCTACCGAGCTATTTTTATGGGGAGTTGATTATCAGAACATTCATGAGGACGATTGGACGTTGCTAATCTGAAATTTAAACTAAATGAGTTTGCTAGATGTATCAACAGCCTTCAACCTGATTCTATTTTATGCACAATAGAGACATACATATTGATGACCTTCAACAATAGTATTTTTTATTTTAAGTGACTACGTGAGTTCATTTACGCTGGTAGTATCTACCCAGGATACTTTTTGTTACAAAAACCCAAAACATATGAAAATGTAGAATATCTTAAAATACACCTTTAAATCACAAGCGTAAGGACTGTGTATGCTGTATGAGTCCCCTAAAAAAGGTTTTGAGTCGAAAATTTAAGTTGGAGAGTTATCCTAGGAGACAGTTATTTTTACAAAACAATATGGTCTATAGAATATGAGGAAGTATTTGAGACTATGTTAAACTACCTGTATCTGTACTATAAGTTAACTGTTATTTAAAGATGGAAGTGTGACACAATTTTTAAAGCTTATAAATTTTTATCTCTTTATAGGTTGGGTTTTTAAAGATGTTCATGACTAACTTGTATTAAGAATAAGTGAATTAACTATACTTACGCCTGCCCGACTTTTCTTGAGCTAATCGTTTCTCTTTTTCTTCCAAAGCACGTTTAAAATCTTTTCCTTGAATATCTTCAGGTCTTCCTTGTCCTTCTTGACGCAATTTCAATTTCGTATGTGCCGGTAAGTCACGAACAGAGTACTGCTTGGACAAAGCACTTAAATCACCTTCCCACTTTCCCCTACTACCTTTAGCAGTATCCCATGTTGGTCTTCCGGCTGTGGTCATTTTTTAGTCGATGGACAACCTGGAAATAAAACATTTGGTTAAAACTGCTCTTAGACAGTTGTTGTTATTTGTGAACAGACTGTTGGGATCACAAATTGTTAAGTTCTAAGAAAACATTGAATAATTAAAAAGCTAGTGACAGAAATACAAATAAGGAGACAAATTGCAGCGGAAAATAACGTTTTGGATGAAAGGGACAGCAAATACAATACTAAGAGACGTTAAGTTCATAGTTATGAAAGATAAGCGGAAAAATCGGAATCTTTTCTTCTGTCTAAGGACATAAGAATACTTAGAGTATTGAGCAATATTACGAACGCTTTACCGGACCATGTTTCATAAATTCAACCTAAACTAGTAAATACCAACTGACTTTAAATCGGGAAGGAAACTGACAGATCATCTTAAGTAATTTAGCGAGTTAATATTTCAGTATTTGCTGAACTTGCCCCCAAATGCCCTGGTACGGCCGAGAGTGGGGAGAGTCCACTCTCCCTCTTGGAATGCTTTCACATGGCCACGCGTATATAACCTCTGTCAGGGAAGTCCTTCTCACTGCCTTCTCGCACCACGGTGTTGTTTACGAAAATGAGAGGACGAAAAGCGAAAGCGAATGTCCGGCGCTTTAACCGGATCCCATACCAATGGTGCACATGGGCTCTAGTATCCTGAAGGAACAAATGGCGTATGAACCAATCGTTGGTCACCGGCTACCATGAAACTGCATCTCCTTACGATGCCCCGCTGCCTTGTGGATCAGATCTTCAGGTCGAAGGCTCGAGGGTGTGGCCCCCTAAGAAAACCACCTGCTTCGGTTTGGGCACCCGGGCAGTATCAAAGCCCTCACACATATCGAATGAGATGTATGGCGCATATGTATTTGGTGCCTCCTTGTACCAATATGTGTTTAAATAAATAAGAACTTTCCATTTATTACAAAACAGACTGAAAAAATGTCAGCAAAATAAAGTTGTGCAAATGAAGGTCAGGACAGTTAAAGTTATTTACAAACGGCAAGACTAAAATTTATAGACGAACCAATAGGGTATAAGATAATAGGCCTCGGATATTGGCGCGAAATTCACTCACCCAATTTGGTTAAAGTTTTGGCATTATAGCTAGCAAGTAACAATAAATCTAGTTGTCAGACTGGTCTATTTTCTTTAAACATATAAGGAACGTAATTGGTAGACAATCTTTTTAGAAAAAATCGGTGTGAAAAATATGAGAAGTATTCCACAAAACTAATTTAAGCGAGTGATTGACTGAAGTATACTTGAGATTAGAGTCTGCTTACTTCTTGGGACTTAAAATATTTAGATTACAAAAGCTCTTAAGAAATATGTTTTGATGGGTATCCAAACATTTAAATGGATTTCATGTAAACTGAGAAGCGGGAGAAAGACAGAGAACGTAATGCTTTCTACATGAAGGCTTACACCAAACAAAATCGAGCAATGGCTTGGGGGAACGGTAGCGTTAATGTCAAATGTACCGCACTCACATCTTAGTGGTTCAAACGCTTGTGGACGGAATAGAAGTAGCTTTCGCTCAACAGGCTTCCGTGTCTAGTAGCAGGGGATCACCAATACCTCTAGACAGGGACCTAGGTATATTAGCGATAAAAGAGAAAAAAAATTGGTAAATCTTAGTAAGATACTATCATTAGTCCTTAAAAATAGATCAAGTCACCTCTTAAAGGACTCCTGGAAAGGCGCTTGGATTAGCTCAGCCGGCAGCGAATCAAAGCATTTGATAACTCTTAAGGAGTAGAAGTTGTGCCTGCAGTCCGTTCTGCTATTTTATTTCTCCACTTTCCGGGTGTTACCCCTTAGTTTAGTATTGGGGCTAAGCTTAAGTAGGTGTTTAAGGGGATGTCTAGAAGTGTTAAGGATACTGCAAGACATTGGAAGGTCGCCTCTAAGACGTCTATACTCCGATGGGTAAGGGTCAAGTGATTGGAGGCGCTCTTCATAAGGTTTAAATTTGAGTCCCCGAACTGATTTCGTGGCTCGCCGTTGGATACGCTCCAGAGTGTCCTTATCCTTTTGGAGGGAGGGGGAAAATACTATGTATCTAAATGGGGACGAGTAGAACTGTTGAAGATTATGTGGTAAGTTTTTCCGTCAAACCGACCGAAAGTGCGCTTCAATGTTACCAGTGCAAGGTTTGCTCGAAAGGCATTTCTGTCACAGTTGGCGTAAGACTTTAAGTCGTAGGGCACCAGAACTAAATCTCTTTCGACTCGAGATACTACTAGAGAGGAGTTTCTTAAGTCCTAACTGTAGTCTGCGACATGTCGCAGATGGACTACTTTACACTGTGAAGTGTTAAATGTAAGTCCGTTGTCGTCTGCCCAACTTTGAAGTCGAGTCAGATCCTGCTGAAGTGCCAGTACATCTGTGGAATTATGGTCTACCATGATATTAGTACTGCTCTAATAATAGACCTAATCCTAAAATTGTAGATTTATCATGATATAACCGCCAGATCTATAAGATCTTACGTGGAAGTTACATCATCATCTACACCAACCCATTGCATTGTAACAATTACGAATACATGATGGAGAACAAGCTTAGGCTAGAGATGGAACAATATATTTAATATGAATAGAAGATATAAGATAACATTCAGCAGGGACCACGCCTGCATGGCCGAGTCATGCCACCCGATCAACGCGGATTAATTAAATTCATTGTTTCCGCCTTCTCCATTCTTCTGTATTTTTCCGCGTTAAATGTTGAATGTCTATTTCCCATATTGCCTAGTATTAGGGCCCAATGCCACTACATATGCTCTTAGCTGCGTATCTCTCTCCAAAGTTTCACATCATCGGCAAAAAGTAATGAGTCTGACGATACCTGTTATAGGACATTGTTTATATAACTCAAGAAAAGAGGTCCTGGTGTTGAACGCTGGGTGACCCCACTAGCCTGAGAGAAATTGAAGTTAACCCTGACCTTAAAATGTCGATTTTTTAGTTATGAAGTAAGTCAATCAATTATAGGTGATTTGACATCTAATCGTTTGAGCTTATTGATAAGACATATATGGTTGAATTTAACAAAAGCTTTTGAGAAGTTAAGATAAATGACGTCAGCCTTCCCCTTGCTATCAAGGATAGTTGTTCATCTGTCCACCGCAGTCAGCAAGTTGGGTAAACAAGAATCACTCTTCCTGAAACCGTGCTGTTGTGGTGGAGAGAAGTTTAAGGATAATAAACAGTCGTGTGTAACGTCGCATATCAGAGACTCCATAATTTTTAAAGGTATAGAGAGAAGAGCCATCGATCTGTAACTTGAAGTTTCGCTGCGTTGGTCTCCTTTGAAAATTGGTGTGATGTAAGCCAGCTTCCAAATTTCCGGTAATGTGTCTTGACTTAGCGAGTGTGAGAACATCACTCTGTGGTGTTGCCAAGATTGAAGCAGCTTCCCTCAGTATAGCAGAATGAACCATATCCGGTACAGGTGAAGTGTCTTTTTAGGTGCTGCAGTTTCCGGAACACCAAGTCATCACTCAGGTTCACTTCTGAAAGTCTTGTGGAGTTGCAAATGTAATAATAATAATATTTTATTCTCGAATAACATTTTGTTACATGAGGCATGCCAATTTACAGGCAAGATCAGATTGTTACAAATGATACAAATTCCAACTGTAGTAAATTACTCAGCTGGGTCTATAATTTATAAGATATGTATGTAGAATGGTTTTAGTCAGTATCACAGTTAGCGCGCTTCATGAAAGTTGCGTTGCGACGTACAACTGACGGTCGATAATAGATTCATGTGCAGTTGAGGGCTTCTAGAAATCGCAATCTTATATCCCTTTGGAATATTTGAGTTTTTAAGGATGATGCAGGACGGGGTCAGCCGTTCCGTATCTCAAGGGGGCTGAAAAATGGTGCAAAAAAAAGGAAGAGGAGCAGAGAAAACAATGTTCATGAAGAAATGGTTAAGGTATGACTACTCAGTCTGATTCTCTTTCATTAAAGTATTTAGTAGGCAGGAGCATCCTCATAGGTTAAAGGAAATATCTGAAGACAAGGTATGAGTGGATAATCAACTGACAAATGGAGGTGGTTCAGAAAGAAACTGAGAGTGTGAGAATATGTAGTTATAAAATATAGTGCTAAAAGCAGTGTTATGATACACAAATGACTGTCTCCCTTTTTTTTGTCGACGCTATTGGAGCCTTTTTTAGATTTTATAGGGTCTTGAGTAGGCTTCGTTTTTTTTATTTTTATTTTATCGGATTGTCTAGTAGCTCTCATCAATATAGTTGGTGTCCGAGAGTACTGTTCATCCAGAAGACTAGTGACGCCACTGTCGTTGTTGGTCGGGCCATTAGGACCTAGCAGTTGGCAAACTCCGGTTTTGGCTTGTCGAGGAAAGGCTGCAGAACGGAATAAGCTTCCCAGATTAGAGACAAATTTATCGACAAGCTTTACCCGGCGCTGAAGCCTGTCTTTTCTTATTGTCTTTGTCCACATTACTTACTTGCTTACGCCTGTTACTCCTAATGGAGCATAGACAGCCGACCAGCATTCTCCGACCCACTCTGTCCTGAGCCTTCTTTTCAAGCTCCATCCAATTCTTGTTCATTTTTCTCATGTCGATCTCCATTTCCCAGCGTAATGTGTTCTTTGGTCTTCCTCCCATCCTTCGGCCTTGAGGATTCCATATGAGGGCTTGTCTTGTGACGCAGTTTGCTGCTTTCCTCAATGTGTGTCCTATCCACTTCCAGCGCTTCTTCCTGATTTCTTCCTCCACTGGGATCTGGTTTGTTCTCTCCCACAGTAGGTTGTTGCTAATAGTGTCCGGCCAGCGGATCTGAAGTATTTTGCGTAGACAACTGTTAATAAACACCTGTATCTTCTGGATAATGGATTTCGTAGTTTTCCATGTTTCGGCCCCATGCAGTAGAACTGTCTTGACATTTGTATTGAAAATTCTGACTTTGGTGTTGGTTGCCAATTGCTTTAAGTTCCAGATATTCTTCAGTTGTAAATATGCTGCTCTCGCTTTGTCAATCCGTGCCTTCACATCTGCATCAGATCCACCGTGTTCATCAATGATGCTGGCCAAATATGTAAAGGTTTGTACATCTTCCAAAGCTTCTCCGTCGAGTGTGATTCGATTGGTGCGTGCTGTGTTGTTTCGGAGAATCTTGCTTTTCCCTTTGTGTATCTTGAGACCTACTGCTGACGCTACACTGGTTGACTTCTTCTGCATTTGTTGTTGCGTATGTGATAGAAGAGCCAGATCATCTGCGAAGTCTAGATCATCCAACTGCATCCTAGATGTCCACTGTATCCCGTGCCTCCCTTCAGATGTTGACGTCTTCATGATCCAGCCGATCACCAGGAGAAAGAGAAAGGGTGTGAGTATGCAACATTGCCTGACACCGGTCTTTACTTCGAACGACTTTGTCAACTGTCCTCCATGCACGATTTTGCAGTTTAATCCATTATAGGAATTCTGTATGATATTGACTATCTTCTGAGGCACGCCGTAGTGTCGAAGAAGCTTCCATAATGTTGTTCTATTCACGCTATCAAATGCTTTTTCGTAGTCAATGAGGTTGATATAGAGTGATGAATTCCATTCAATTGATTGTTCTACAATGATCCGTAGAGTTTCGATTTGATCTGTGCACGACTTTTCCTGGTATTGAGAGAAGAGTGGTCCCCCTATAGTTATCACACTTGCTGAGATCGCCTTTCTTTGGTATTTTGACCAGAAGTCCTTTTTTCCAGTTTGTTGGTACTTGGTTCTCACCCCACATCTTTCTGAAGAGTATGTGGGGTATTCGTGCAGTTACCGCTACGTCTGCTTTCAGTACTTCTGCTGGAATGTTGTCTGGTCCTGCTGCTTTGCCACACTTTATTTGTCTGATAGCCATGCTGATTTCTTCAATTGTTGGTGGACCTGTAGAATTACGGTCTACTATGATATTAGTACTGCTATAATAATAGACCTAATCCTAAAATTGTAGATTTGTTATGATGTAACTGCCTAATCCATAAGATCTTACGTGGAAGTTACATCATCATCTACACCGACTCACTGCGTCGTAACGATTACCAATACATAATATAGCACAATCTTAGGCTAGAGATGGAACAATATACTTGATATGAATAAAAGATATAACATAATATTTAGCAGGGACCACGCCTGCATGGCCGAGCTATGCCATACGATCAACTCCAATTTATTCATATCATAATCCCCTCCTTCTCCATTCTTTTGAATTTTTCGGCGTTAAATGTTGAATGTCTATTTCCCAATATTGTCTGGTGGTAGGGCCCAATGCCACTACAGACCAACATCGATTTGGAGGTCAGTGAGTGCTGCTTCGATGTTGGGTGGGTTCAGTGGGGCTGGTCGATTCGAGAGTTCTTTGAAGTGTTCTACCCACCTGTTTCGTGGTTCTTCAATGTCGGTGATTACCTTGCCTTTTTTGCTTTTCACTGGTCGTTCTGGTTTACGGT